GGGGGGGGAGTTGAGGAGGACGAAAAAAATAAATAAACTTAAAGGAGGGCAAAAAATCCCAGAGAGACAACACAGTTCGGGCCCGGAGATGAGAAACGTCAAAATCGGGTCGAGGCTCAATCCCGTATTTTGCGTCGAAGGGCCAGCCGAAGTCGGCCATTTTCTTAAAAGGCATGTCATATTCCTTTGGACTGTCGCATCCTCCTGATTCTGTTATTTCTCATTTTCTTTCGTTTCTGGCCAAGAAGGTGCATACCACCACACCAACATTCATGCAGCGGTGGGTGAAGCAGCGCGCGTTGGCGCCGAACGTGGGGGGGACAGCGCCGACAATCACTCTCCCTGCCTACGAAACAAACGTTGTCCAGCAAGGAACCGGGGGAGTGGGAGCACGGAAGGAGCAGCAGTGGAACGTTTCATATTGGATACGCTCTCCCAGCAACCCTTGTTTCTCATGTATTGGGGGTGTCACACGATCATGTTTCTTATTGGGACGTTTCTTATGTTGTGGCCGAGATTGAGCTATTAGCTGTGTTTCTTAGTCCATTTTTCTAGTTTTTCGCAAAAAGTTCAGTCTTTTTTTCTTAACGGATTTTTTCATAATTGCGGGCCCGTTACTACATACAGTAGTCACACACAGTACAACCTATTATATATGGGTTAGGGTTTTGGGAGTCAAATGATTGCAGTAAAAGTTCGTGAGTTCGTGTGTGTCGGTAGCCGCTCAAAATAAAAAGAACTGCTCTGTACATCATACACATAGACTTTATCATGCGCGTAGCTCAATGACTTTTTTCTCCGCCAAAAAGAGGAAAAAAAAATACCGAAGGAAAAAGAGAGAGGAGCAAGATCCGACCCCACACCGCCGAAAGTTCGCGATCAAACCACTCTGCTATGTGCACATTGCTTCGCGGAAACTCAGGCATCTGATCGGAATAACAACGTATTACTCTTGTTTTATTTTCTCGGGGGGTGTAGTTTTTGGAGTTATTGTAGCAGACTGCTGTGGGCACGACAACGGCCGCTAGCCCCCCGCCGCTTTTCGTCGGGATCGACAGGGAGACGCACGACAGCAGTAACGTTTCTTTGTCTCGTGTCATGTGGAGACTTGGTCGCTTCGTCCTCGCGGCTGGCGAGGTGTGTAGCCAGCGCGCACGCGCCACGTCATGATCTGCCGTTTGTCTAACGCATAAATGGACCGAACTGTGAAGAAAACGGGGGTGTGATTGGTGGAACCGTGGTAGATCTCGGAGACGCGACTTTTCTGCCCTCGGTAGCGCTCGGCGACGGCCGGCCCGGCAGCGATCCGCGCGCGAGCAAGGCCCTCGCGGCCCGGGGCTGCCGGCAGGCGCGATTTCCGCGGCGAACGGAGGTGTATGGGCGGAGAAATCGCAAAAAAAGGGCTCTTGGCTCACGAGAACATCAGGATGCCCTTTCCTGCGATCTCGTGAGCCCTCAGCCCGCGTAGGAAAGCCGTCTATAGGTCTTTACTACGGGGAAAGATTGGCCCCCGGCCCCCCAATAGGGCGGGCGGTCACCATGGGTGGTAAGGCTGCCGGGCTTCGCGAGTAGATGTCATGGATGACAGCCGGAAACAATCGTGTTCCGGGGGAGGCAAGAGTTATCGCTCAAACGAGAGGCGAATTCCGAATGGTCTTCAGACTCGGCGCTCGCTGTAAACACTGATGACAAGGGTTGTAAAGAATCGCCCATTTTTTCGTTGCTTGATTTCTGCAGGAAGGAGGTGCATACACAGCGTTGAGGGATCATACGACAATGTTGTCAAGGCATATACGACAACTATATGCATACAGCAGATAGTTTTCATCGGATTAATTGTGTGCAAGTGGGACATCTGTTCGCATGTCTATATCTATTTGGGCCATAGTCGTCTGGTGGACGCGTCGCCATCCGAACATGTTAGCGTGTAGTGTCGACCAATGGCTGCGAACGCGTACAATGCTTCAGGTGTCAGGTGCAATACCTCAGCGTGCGCAAGAAGATGGGTTCCGTGTGCAGTAGTAGTCCGTAGGGCGCCACGTGGTGATGGCGACTGCAGCGTTCCGCCTATGGACGACGCGTGTCGTCGCGGGTAGATGACGAGTTGATTGTTGTGAACCATTCCGTGTTTCTTTTACAAATAAATGATGTTTGAATGCTAGTTAGTTGGAAGATCATGATCATGTTTGATTGTTATGATTGTTGCACGAGTATGCTTGTCATATCCGCCGTGCGGATCACAAGACACCCATGGGATACCACAGCTTGACAGGGTGCTCATGTGTGGACACAAGGAGGCGCGCTTTTTGAAGTGTACAGCTGCAGCAGTGGTACGTATGTGGAATGTTTTTGATGTTGCAAGATGCATGTTGCTTGCAGGTCGGCAAAAGCGCATGTGGTATGTATGTGGAACGTTCGAAGGAAGCCGGATGCAATGTTTACAACAGCGGACCAAAGCCGGGAGGTTGGTGGGAACAGACATCCACATGCGCTCATTGTTGTCCACGGGAAGCTGCAGTGGTCCGCGTCTCTCTGCATAAGATTTTGGTGTTGTAGACGACACATGTGCGTCGGACAAGTGAAGAGAAACAGACAGGTGGAACGCCGAAGTATTGGATGTGGTTGCACAGTTTGAATCAGGACCATGACCATCGGTGAAGTCACCAGCAAGGTCGTCACGTGATCGCAATCCAACATTCATGGCCGTTAACGTTCGTGCTGCTGCCTGAAACATCTGAGTTGTTCCACGGGGACCACCTCACTCATTGCACGGAAGAGCAATTTCTTCGCAGATTCACGTGTGGCATGTCGCGTGGGATCGCGCGGCGAAAAAAAATCGTATCCACGTGGGTCCAGTCTAAAATCAAGTCTAATGTGGTGCAACATCCTGTGAGTATTGTTGTTGTTTGTTGTTGTTTTTCTTCACATTAAACTCGTGTCAGTCGCTGACCGCAAAATCTAGCAAATACTCGGTCCGTGGTCACAAAAATGCTAGAGCCATCAGAGGATCTGAAGAACACACACACTATTAGCAAGGAAAGGGTACGCAAGCCCGAGGAGGTACGCCTGCAATCCCTGCAGCACGTTTGCGTGCTCATAACTGAACTACACGCCCACACTTCAAATCGACTACAGCAGCAGCATCACCCCCCTTGTCCCGCATTGAACCAAAATGAATGTTTGTCGACTACAGCGTACTGCTGTCTGAAGTGCTGTCTGTACAATAGTAACACCATGGTGCATGGTACACAAGGTCGGGGCATGGAGCTGCTGTCTGAAGTGCTGTCAGCATGATCCCGTGGACATACAATGAAGAAGAACGCCCAACCAAAGCCATCATTGCAATTGACAATCACCCGAATCTATCCAGATCATCTGCGTTAGGCACGGCAGTGTAAACATCGACACTGACTAGGAATCGTTCCACATTGAAGGGGTCTTCCACAATGCAGGTACACAATTAAGGCACCCGGGTTATCCGCGTCATCTCTGCCGCGTCTCTCTACAAAACCAGTGACGTCACACACCCAACGCCAGTCCTAGCACGACCAAACTCGACCCGCTCCGCTTAGTACACGCTCTCGTTGCTGTCCTTCCCAGTCGGTTCCTCGCTTTC